GGGGCGGGGGCGGGGGCGGTTTAAATTTGCGGGGACGGGGCGGGGAATGTAAAACCCGCCCCTGCCCCGCCTTGTTACCATGCCTACTTCTATCTCATTATTTATCACAAGTAGGAGTTTTGATAAATGATAACAAGCTTCAAAATACTCTTAGAACTTTGAAAATAATCAAATACATGTGAGAAAGAAAAAAGAGTAAAACGGAAAAGAAAGGAACGATTTCATATTGATTGTATGTGTACACTGTTTTGTAAAAATATATTTACAGAAAACGCTAGGCTGGATATGTATATATACATAGGCAGCCAGCAAAACTGAAAAGAGAAAAATACAACACAAACAGAGTAATTGACTTAATTAGTTTTGCTAACTGTAGAATTGTGGTCTAATACCCCCCTGCAAGCTGGAGAGTATATGTTAATTACTCCCAGCTTGGATAACAAATATTGAAAAGGTGAAGGATCAAGCGGTTTGGTAAGTATGTCAGCTAATTGGTGAGAAGAAGCAATAGGTAGTAAGTGAAATAGGCCAGCTTGAAGCTTCTCACGAACAAGGTGGCAATCAATCTCAATGTGTTTAGTTCGTTCATGGAAAACAGCATTAGATGCTATGTGTCTAGCAGACTGGTTATCGCAATAAAGGAGGGCTGGAGTAGTAAAGGGAACAGAAAAGTCTTGAAGCAAGTAAGTTAACCATTGAATTTCACAAGCTGTGGCAGCAAGAGCACGATATTCTGCTTCGGAAGAGGATCTTGAAATGGTGGACTGTTTTTTGCACTTCCAAGAGATGAGGGAATTTCCTAGAAAAATAGAATAGCCTGAGAGAGACCTTCTGGTATCCGGACAAGAAGCCCAGTCTGAATCACTAAAAGTAAACTCAAATAATAGATGCTGATTCAGATTCTCAACACTACAAACAACACTATTTGGTCTTCCAACATACCAACCAAAGCAGTGAATAATCCAATTGCTAATCTTTTGGATTCGGGAAATTTTGTAGTGAGAAATGGACAGGAAACCAACAGTAACACTGTGTTCTGGGAGAGTTTTGATTATCCAGGTGATACATTGATGCCGGGAATGAAATATGGATGGAACTTGGAGACTTGTCTAGAAAGATATTTATCGTCTTGGAAAAGTGAAGAAGATCCTGCTGAGGGAGAGTATGCTGCAAAAGTTGATCTCAGAGGATATCCTCAAACAATTATGTTAAAGTAGTAAAACTTTTCCTTTATTTTTTAATGCTATAATTAATTAAGATTGCTTGTATTAGTAGGTAAAATTCTGCTGTAATTATGTTTGCTTAGTTCAGTAGATAATATCTTGTTAGGTATCTGTTTTTAGGCAAATCTACACACTTAATGATGGTGGGAACATGTATTTTACTGACAACATTTATGGGCTCTATGTATGACTGTCATTTTTCATGTATTTGCCTTATATATGAATGAAAAACAAGCAGAATGGTATGGTTATCCAGCAAATACAAAATTGCTTTGTTCCCTAACCTTTCCTCTTTTCTGTTTTATGGTTTTGTATGGTTTTTATGTTTCATGCTTCCGCTGCCCATTGCATGTCTTAACAGTGGTATCAGAGCATTGTTCTTATAGGCTGTGGGTTTGAAAAAATTGAGAGGAGAGATTAAACACTTGTGAGTGAGTGATAAAATGGCTTCGTGGAATAATGGTGTATTTGTTGTTCCAATTTTCTGGGGAAAACTATCACATATGGATTGTCAAAATGAGATCATGTTTGAAGTCTTTTGGCTTATGGGAGTATGTAGATCAAGATAAGGAAGTTCCACCATTGAGGGCTAATCCTACCATAGCTCAAATGAAGCAACATGAGGAGGAGACTTTGAAGAAGGAAAAAATTGTCTCATGTTTACATTCAGCTTTGACAGATGATATTTTTACAAACATTATGCATTTGGAAACAGCAAAACAAATATGGGATGAGCTGAACGAACGATATGCTGGTGATGAACGGGTGAGATCCATCAAACTATTGACTCTTAAAAGAGAGTTTGAAATGTTGAAAATGAAGGAAAGTGAATCAGTCAAGGAGTACACTTCAAAACTGTCTCACTTGGTGAACCAAATGAGATTGTATGGTGAGGTGGTCCATGACCACAAGGTAGTCAAAAAAATGTTGATCAGTCTACCTAAAATTTGAAGCCAAAGTTGCTGCCATTGAAGAGTCATGTGATCTTAAGAAACTAACCATTTCCGAAATGGTCAATAAATTGCAAGCTCATGAGCAAAGATTCTCCATGAGAATGGATAAGGTGCATTTCAAGCAAGACACAAGGGAAAGCAAGCTGGTCAGAAAAATCAAAA